AAAAAAAAAAAAAAAAAAAAAAGAAGTCCTAAACAGTAAAACTGTAACTTCCTGCCTAAACAAATCTATAACAGCCAAACCTTAATAAGATCAGTCCCTGAGCCCCTCTGCATTGGTATGCGACTGCTACAGAAAAATGCTGATTTCAACTCAGGAAATGTATTTCATTCTCCTCTGCTGGTTCAGACCTAGAGTTTGAAAATAGCTTTTAAGTATTTACCTTATATTCCAAACTACACTGGTGATATTAGTAGAAACATCTTTCAGATTACAACCAAAAAAAAACTAAATGGATTGAGCAATCTGCAGAGAATATAAAAACAATATTGTGAGATACATTTGTTTCTAAAAACAGAAAAATTACCTTGCTAAATGTGAATGCCTTTTGTCAAAAATGTGGTTATTATAATTCTAATTTATGAAAAAATGTAAGACATTAATGCACATTTATATTATTCAAGAAAGTGTGGATGATATCTTCGTAAACTTTTCTTTGTGAATTCTCACGTATAGTTGTGGTTTAGAAGTGACTTAAGTAATAATGTAGTGGTTATGTTTCCAAGTTGGACTTCATAATGTTCATTTTACTTTCATTCTCCAGATCAAAGAATGTTCAGAAAAAGTAGAACTGATACATGGTAAGAAAGGTGGACTAGCAGCTGATAAGAAGGAATTCAAACCTGTGCCTGGAAGGACTGCTGTTTCAGGAGCTGCAGGAGATAAGGACATGAAGGACATTTCAGCACCCAAACCTGGACCTATAAAAAAGGCACCTACCACTAAGGTTAATACATGCTTTAAAAATAGAATTTAGTTAGGTGGAATTAGTTTCAGATTTATGGTTGGTCCTCCAAAATGATTTTGTTTGACAAATGAATTCACTAACCACATTAAAAATGCAGCAGAACATCTATTAACAGAGACAATATTCCCATGACATATTTTGTTAGTTGAAACATTAATACAGATAAAAATGGTAATGTAAACAAATGGTAACGAAGGTCTTGGAGTGTGGGGTTTTTGTCAATTGAAGGTAAAATTTCCTATCTTAACCATTTTAGTGTATAGTTCAGTAGTATTAAATGTATTCATAATGTGCAACCATCACCACCATCCATCTCCATAACACTTCTCATGCTTCAACACCAAAATGCCCTATCAGTTAAGCAGTAACCCCCTATTCTTACCTTCTCCCAGCCCCTTTCTTTTTCTATGAATTTGATGACTTTAGATACCACATATAAGTAGAATCACACTAGTATTTGTGTTTTTGTGATTGATTTATTTCACTTAGCATAATGCTTAAGATTCATCTATATCATAGTATGTGTCAGAATTTCTTTCATTTTAAGGCTAAATAATATTCCACTGTGTGTACATATATGTATATGCCACATTTTGCTTATCCATCTATTTGTCAATACACTTGGGTTGCTTCCACACTTTGGCTACTGTAAATGATGCTACAGTATGGTAAAA